AGGGTGCATATCCACTCTGCCTTCTGCCTGAAACTACAGCTAATGCCTTACTTATGTAAAAAGCTGAGGGGTGGGGAGAGGAAGAAAATAATACAGCCCTCATTTCCTTATTGCTATAGAGAGAGTAGGAGGGAAATGATGGCAGGAGCTGTAGTAATTCTGGAACAAATCACCTATGTTAAGATCTACTCTCAAGGCTTGACTGCTGGTTTCCATATTTTCCTGCCTTAACAGGCCTCTGATGTCATCCAGAGGTGGGCAGCAGCCAGGTTCTAGAGGCCCTACTGCCCAGAGTCACACCTCAGAGAGAAATTTTAGAAATAACGCATACATTTGCAAGGCTCTGTTGCATTGCAGTAACAGTTTTCCTCACCTGAATTCTATTTTCTGTATTGAATAACTGGCGTTTTAGACTGGCATTTTCCAGGCCTAGTCTTGGCCTGAAAATAATTTTGTCCACAAAATACTAGTGTGTGTTTGATTGGGGGGGGGAATCTCTCAATATGGGGGTGGGGGAAAGATTTTGTTTATAGAGGAGTATTGGTATGGGTTCTGGTCATAGAAGGAAATGACCAGCTTCTATTAAAGTGAGTTGCATCAAGCCCTTAAATTCAAGTCAGGTCATTAGTTTGACTCCATAACAGTAGTTCTCAACCTTGTTAGATTCAAGGCACCCCTCATTTGACTTGAGGCACCCCTAGGAAAATTCCAGCTCCTAGTTTTGACTCATTTTTTGAGTACCAAAAAATAATAGAGCAGTTTTTTGTTGCAAAGGATTCAGAAAGACCACAACAGGTCAGAATGTTTTTAAAACTATGAATTCCTGTTTGAAATCTCTGGATTTATCTTGTGAATCTTGTTTGCACACCTCAGTGCTAACATTGCATTGCATCCTGGAAAGGATTTCAAGGCACTCCAGGCTGCTGCAGTTCCTTGGTTGAGAATCACTGCTCCATAGAAACAGATACCAACAGTGCTAGAGTTATCTTTGTCAAAGTACATTTGATGATAAATCCATCCACTGAAATAGAAAACTGCACTTTGAAAAGGATCAACATCTGCTACTTTGAAAAGGAACATCCCTGCCTCAGCAGATAACACAAAAGGAATCTGTTAGTAATCTGTTACCTGTGAGTGAAAATAATTACAGAAGATTGACAGATGCTGGGCTGGACTCTGATCCTGTCCACTCTCTGGTCCATGGGCATCTTTCCTCAACTTCAACAAGCACTTAAATTAGTTGGAATAAGTGTAAGTATGGTTTAAATGACCTACATTTGAGTTACCTGCTCCCAAGTTGGCCCTCCCTAAGTCAGAAAGGGCAGGCTGTAAAACATTCATTCCTCACTAAGTAGCTGCAGCCCCACTGCCCTGCTAGGGTAGGGCAAACATGGAGTGTTCTCCATGTTTGACCTTCAGCCCATGTCCTCTGACTGGCTAGCAAACTAAGCATAAAGCTCCAGTGAACTTGAGGTAGAGGTATTCATGTGTGGCCAGGAACCAACACAGGGGCACTACTCAAATTACAGTCTGAGCTGTGTTGAATATAAACCCTAAGAATTACAGGGATGATTTGTTACTGTGCTAGGTGCTTTGTGGATGCAGTCCTTGCTCTGACATATAATCCAAGGCCCTGATTCTGCGTACAGATCTCTCAGCCTCTTGCACTTGATATCAATGGGTGTTGTGAAAGAACAGGAGCTTGTCCATCTCAAGTTGGTTGCAAAATCCAGGCCTGAAGCAAATAGCAGCTTGGAACTGCATTATCTTCCAGGGCTAGATTTTCTTGACATATATTTGGTCTGTTTGCCCTTGGAAGAGTTTTTTTGAATACCTTATACAAACTTCTGCCTAGCTTAAACACCACTACATGCAGAAACTTTATGTTATTTTACAGGTGACTAACTATGGCTGTGTTGCTAGGGTTTTTAATGCCATTTCTTACTCTAGGATTTTCAGCTGTCATTGCTGAACGGTGGGGGGGCAAATATTTACATGTCTGTTCAATTGCTGTCTGCAGAATTGAATTGGTCATATCTGATTAAGTGAACTCAAGTTCACGAAAGCTTGTGTGCTCTCTGTCTATTTTATTTAGTGCCTCTATAAGGTGCATATCTACTAGGGCTGTGCAAGGCTTCAGACTGTGCTTTGGATCCAGAGAAGCTTTGTACGCTTCAGCATCTGAAGCAGCATGTCCGGATCGAAGCGCTGGCTTCGTTAGGCTTCCCAAAGCGATTTGGAGCTTCTGAACCACTTCAGAAAAGCTGCGGAGCCACTTCGGAGATCTGCCCATAGGGTATAATGGGGATTCAATGAAATATCTATAACTTTGTTGTTTTTTAACTCACTGGTGTAACACGTACACTTGACAAGAGTTTTGCTTTCAAGAATTTGGGGTGCAGTTCCCCCGGAACCCCTGCACCTATCTTCTTGAAACTTGGTAGGCTTCATGCTCTCAGCAGAGGCTACTATCCCTACAAGTTTCACCCAAATCAGACAAAAAACAACAACATTATAGATATTTCATTGATTCCCCATTATACCCTATAGCCGGATCTCCAAGGCAGCTCCAAAGCTTCGGAGCTGCTTCACCCAGATTGAAGTGGGAACCCGGTCCGGAGCTCTGGATCGGATTGCTGGCATCCAAAGCAGCCGGATCCAAAGCTGGATTGAATAGCTGCTACTCACACAGGCCTAATATCTACCCTGCCTTCTGCCAGGTTGTAATGGCTACAGTACAGATGTTCTATTGAACTTGCAAATTCAGGACCCAATCCTGAGATGGTTCAATTCTAAGGGTGCAATCCAGTCCACCTTGAAGGCAAGGGAAAGATCTCCATCACCTTCAAGCAGCTTCTGATCAGCTCATAAAGACGGCCTCGTGACCATGAGCCCTTGTTCTCTGATTTTATATTTAAGAGCTCCATGAACACTGTCGGCACTTGGTGAACAAAACTCGGGCTGACAGCCTTCAGAGAAGCATCAGTGATGCTGGCAATCCCTCGACTCAAGGATAATCTCTATCACAGCTCATTGATGGTCTTGAGGTGACTTGAGTCTAATCCTTGAGCCACAGATCTGCCCACAGAAGTTGCAGGTCTTTCTCCAGGTCTCTCTCCTTTGCCTTCTTCTATTTTCTCTTCTCCACTTCAAGGGCAAGATGCTTTACCTCAAAATGGGCTGCTACTTGTTTGAGGTTGCGGTGCCACTGAAGTCAGCTGACAGCCAGTTCCTCCCAGTTTTTGATGTTGGCATCCGTTTTGTTGACCTATGCCTTCAATGTGTCCTTACAGTATTTCCTCTAGCTGTTGTGAGATCTCTGGCCATTACTAAGCTGGGAGCAGAGCACTTGCTCTGGGAGTCTGGGCAACCATATACAATGTCTGGTCCGGCCAAGTTGGCGCTTGAGGGTCACCAACTCAATGCTGGTAACATTGGCTTCAAGGATGCTGGTGTTTGTGTGGCAATCTTCTCATTTGATGCAGAGGATTTTCCGGAGGCATCACTGGTGATACTTCTTCATGCTCTTGAGATGACGATGGTAGGTCACCCACATTTCACATCCATAGACAACTGACTTTTACCCAGATTCATTGGTATCTTTCCAAAGATCTCAATGAATAAAGACGTGCTGAAGCAGTTTCTCAAAGGATGCTGGGTTTCTGGTCACAGCCGTTTTGGTCTAAGGACATAAGCAGGCAAGGATCTTTGAGATGTGGTATCTTTTATTAGATCAATTGAGTGGTTGGAAAAAACTTTTCCAACTACTCAGTTGGTCTAATAAAAGATACCACATCTGCTCAAAGAACGTTGCCTGCCTTTCTCAGAGGAGGCACTTGTGCACCTGATCCTGTACTGTAAGGGACCTCCAGAGGCCATCGAGTCCAAACCCCTGCCGGAGGCAGAATCATCCCTATCCAAACCATCCCATGCAAAACCATCGTCAAACCTCTACGTAAGACAACTGCCTTCTGAATAAGAGCAGGGGCCTGCTGGGTCTGTGAGGTCCATCCTGAGAGGTTATTTCTCCCCTGGCCAGCCTCATGCCAGCCTTCTCTCTCATGCTAGTCCTTGTGATTTGGACTGAATTGCTTCTGTGATCAGTTTATCTGTGAAATGTAATGTGATGCGCTGAGCACTGGGGGGTACAGGGTCAAAGGGCCCCCTAACAGTAGGGTTTTGCCATCCTCTGCACAAGAAATAAGACATTCAGGAAGACAAAGGCTTAGTCATGAAAATGGTACCTTATGCACCGGGTGTCACAATGCAACTTGAAACAGTTAGATAGAGTAGCATGGAAGGAGAGGAGTGTAAGCCCTTGCTTGCCTGTAGAGTGAGACTGTATGAAAGGCTGCTAGGGTGCATGTAGTAAACATGGCAGACAGGTCTAGCATGGAACAAAGCCTGCTCTCTTTCCCAGCGGTCGCACATCAAGGATACAGGTTCCCTCCGGCACAGTTTGGAGCGGCAATAGGACGGGTGCGCCCAGAGATCTTGCCCCTGTTTGTGGGGCTTGCCCAGGGCCAGCGCGGTGTGGTCTGTTCATGTAGCCCAGGCACGAAGCAGGGGGGCCTCTGGCTTTTGGCCCCTCGGTGCCAGACATTTCATTGCGGGGCATCTGAGTGCTGGCGGCTGCACGTGGCCGGGGCTGTCCCGGGTGCGGGAGGGCAGCGCCGGGGGCTCCTTGGGCGCGATG